AATTTCATCGTCCCGTCCAGAAGCACTCGGCTCATCCGTTCTCTGAGGAGGAGCCGAAGAAATGGGAGTCGCCCTAACCCCTTCAGCAGGGTCAGACTCTGTCCTTCGTCCATTCCAGGTCCCAATCCTGTCCCTGGGATCGGGGATTAGCCTTGCTCTTCTTGGAGCACGGGCTCCACCTCTAACTCCCCTCACCATTGACGAATTTCGAAGGAAAAAGTCGAAAAAGGGGAAAGAGTGCAAAGTCGAAGAAAGATGAAATAAAATCAAAGGAATTTACCTTGATCTGAAGCAAAAGCCGCCGATTTACGAATTGGTAGTGACAAGTCTCAGCTTCTAAGCTTAATGCTCGGGGAATTTGCGAAGTTTTGATGCGGGCTCTTGAGCGTTCTTGAGAATTCTGGGTTTGTGTTGATGAATGAGTGGGGAGAGAAGACGCGCCTCTATTTATATCTCCAGAAATGGGAATTCAAGGAGTCTGCGTTTCAATTTCTCTCAAGCACCCCACTAAGTAACCGTTAAACACACGACCTTGCAGTTAAGTCGCCCACTACCCGTCCAACTTCCGCAATTATCCACATTAACTGTTGTTATCTCATTAATCATGGGTTAATTACGGTTTAAATTCACATTTTTGGATTAACAAATCATTCACTTCCCTCCTTTTCTGATTAAATCAAACCCGACCCGTCATCCTTCCAAATCGGGTCTGGGGGGCAAGTTGTTTGGGTCCAATTTAGTCCAATTGGGCCTGGTCACTGAATGATCCAATTAAAAGCCCAAGGTTAAGGTTCAACTCTCCAAATGTGCTAAAGTCAAAAATCAACATCCTCAAAGCCATGTCAAGGTCAGTCAACGGCCCAATCAGCTTGGCCCAGCCCAACTGACTTCCGGGCCCAATCCGCCTCCTTCATTAGCCAAGGTATAAAAGCCAACAATTTGGTCAATCCTTGGTAAGACAATAAAGCCTCAAGCAACTAAACTCTTGCACAGCTTTCTCTCTCTAATATACTGACTTAAGCATCGGAGGGGCCTTCCTCGGCGTCCCCCCCGAGGCTAGTTTACGTGTATTTGTTGTGCAGGAAACCCTCGGCTCCTGCGTCGTTCGGACCGAGACCAAGTTCCCTCAAGATAAAAGGATCTTCCGAGATTCGATTGTTTTCATCCGAAACAATAATAATAATAATAATAATAATAATAATAATAATAATAATAATAATAATAATAAGTCATTGTAATTTTTATTTAAGGCGAAAATGAATATGTGATTATTGAAATAAATGTGACTACAATTATTGGGATCATGCGCCTTATTTAAAAATTATAAATTATAAATCATATAAGCAAAGCAATATTGATCCGATCCTTCTTCACTTTAGGAACCTCGTTCTCTTTTTCAACTAGGTCGGCCTTCATTATTAATGTGTCTTTTGTAGCCCGAACCGTCACATCTCTAGTTGAACTTTCACCCCTTTCACCTTTCTTAGAATTCTTTGATTGCTGCTCTCTATAAACCATCTTTTCCTTACCCTTTCCCTTCACCTAATTTTCTTTTTAGGTATTATAGGAGTCTTAAACTCAATTCCTTGTGTTCTCGGACTTAGACGATCTTTAGGAGGCGCCTTTTTACTTCCCTGATGTCCCTTCACATCAAAGTTGCGTGATCCGACTCGATCCCTTCTATATCTAGGATTCAACCATGTCTTGTATGCACTAGAAAAGGGAGGAGGAGCTTGGTTACTCGCAGAAACGGTCCACAAAGGTCTTCCAATCCAATAAGTCTCGTACTTATAAACATTACTTTCATGCAACGATACTTCGCGAGGACTATCGTTATAGCATGGAACTACTTGTTTAAGTCCATATTGTCGCATCAATCGAGAAGGACAATAAAAAGTCAGCTTTGGAATACTAGGAACGCGACAATATGGAGTATCATTCGTGCCAACCATCCTAGTAAGCCTCCACCAAGGCACCACCCACCGAATCGAAAATTCTCTCTTTGCAAAGAAAATCTTCCAATCATCATATGACATGTTCGCAGAGTAATTCTTCTTCCTACCGACTAGATCTTTGGGACCATATTTTTCAATATCGTCGGGGGCTACAAAGATTTCTAAACGCTCCATCAACCAAATCTGCAAAAAAAAAAAACAAAAAAAAAAAAAAATCAGTCGATGTAGGGAATATTTCTAGCATTACCCCAAACTTGAACCCCATTGTGATCAGACACTTAAGCATGATGGCGTCCTAAGGGAAAGAAGCAAGAGAAAAAGAGTCGCCAACAAGTTTTAGGAACTTGTAAACCGTTCACAGGATGAAGGTTACACCCCTTAACGATCCAAGAGATCGTTAACTCCAATAGGTCTGGAACCAATACTGGAAGTTCAGGGATAAAGGTACAAATTCAATCTAAAAGAGAAAGAACCTGCCCTAATTATAGGCCTCTACTTTATTCTTCTCGTATTCATGTGCGCTTTCTGATTAACATGCAATCAATAGGTTAACCCTAAACCTGTTTATCTTTGTTGGTTGAATATTAATGCACAAATAAATCTATTATTGGCGATCACTTGAATTATAATCATATTAACTCTAAACAAGATTATTAATTATCTTATTAAGCATGATTACAAGTACAAATTCCCTTTAAACATGCATAAAGGCGTGATCAAGCAATAACAATAAATATCAAGCAACATAATAACAATATTCAAAATAATAATAATCATAACTTAAATCATCATCAAAATAATCATAATTATCATGATCATGTTAAAGCATAATATTAATAGCAAGATCCTAGGCATGATACTAACAAGATTAATAACAAACCCTAGCATGTCACTAAACATATAAAAATCAAAGCTTTAACCCTAACATGATACTAACATGCTATTAGGAAAGGAATAGGAAGCATCATAGAAATCATAATTGACATAAGGAACTTATTGTTGTCACCCTAAACATGGTACTAGGAAGTAATAAAACATCCTAACATGACAATAGGAATCAAAATAACAATATAAGCATGATTTCTATATCAAAATATCAATAAAGCAATTAAAGCACTTACTTGGAAGCCTCGTATCTCTTTCTAATAACAAAATACAGACGTTAGTAACTTCAAGGAAAATATAAAAATCAAAGAATTAAATTAAATAATTGAAAGAGAGATTTAGGACCAAACCCTTAGAAATATCAAACCTTTCACGTCTAGGGCGAAGACAACTTCAAATTATGCTAGGTGTGTCTACATCTTGTAAATGCGGAATTTTGTTTGTTAAAAATTGGTTTAGAAAGAGAGATAGAGAGTATCAAGATTTCTTGATAAGAGTTGATGATTGAAAAAGGGGAGATATGACCTCTATTTATAGGAAAAAAGAGAGTCGAAAAATAAAGAAAAGAATCCGAATTCGAATCGAAATAAAACTCGATGGACAACAGTTTTAGCAAATTTTGTTTTCATCATATCTTTTGATCCAGAAGTTCAAATAAGGCATATAATATGTCGTTGGAAAGCTCTTGAAGTCTTCTTTCCAAACCAATTAAAACGAGATTAAAATATTTTTTATATAAAAAGATATGGCCGAAATAGTAGGACGGTGTCAATTTTGGATAGAGTTTCATATTCCATTCATATCTTTTTCGTTATAGCTCGGATTTAATATTATAATATATCATTGAAAATATAATTTCAATATCAATCCAACCATAAAAAATTTGGATTAATATTATGAGGCAAGAAATTAAAATCTTAGTATATTCCACTTCGTACAAAACAAGGATTCTCAAAAGGAGTAGTTTTATTCAATTTCAAACTCTTTGAAACATAATTATCAATCCTAATTCCATTAGGATTTAAGAGATCCCTCTAGAGTATTCTAGAATACTATAATCAATGCTAATAGCTTTAGGAATGATAATTAATAATAGGCCCTCCTCTAGATCATTGGGATGTATGTAAGAACCAAACCGAGCCCAGTTTAGTAATTTGGTCATAACTTCCTCATTATTCATCGGAATTGGGCTTATAATATATTTTTGGAAAGGTCTTTTCAAACCCCATCCAACTATACTATTATTGGACCCTTGTTATGGACCAAACTAAACTGGATAGACTATTTTCATAAAATAGAGTAAGTTTTCAAAAACCGGAAGAAAGATTTTTTAATACAAACTAACCGTAACACTAGACTTTCCATACTTTCACTTCATTCGATTATGATTCAACGTGAAAAGTATTCATCACCGGGTTTTGTCTTAGGGAGACACAAATGGGTGTCTACAGAAGCCCCCACTTTGACTGAGTGTGGAGAAACGCAACTTTCGAAAACAAAAGTCAAAGTATCGATAGGGAAGGAGAATGATTCAAAACGTTCTGCGATAATAAATCATTCTTGTAACGCCGATACCTGCAAACTAGCGTTAGTTAAAACAGATAAAAGAGTTAAGAAACGCGTATCTTGCACCATCGAGCACACGTCTCTTGAGAAACCAATTTGTTGCATTTGCCGTTGTGACAACCTTCCACAAGCTAGGGAACACCATCTTGCTGTTTTGATGTTCACTCTTCTCTGAACAATGGAGCTTTTCTGATATGTCCACGCGTTTCTGAACAAAAGAGCTTTGATATGATATGCCCATGCGTCTCTAAGCAAAAGATCTTTTTTCTTGAATTATAGTGACAACCTTCCCAATCATAGCAAAAGTCGTCGAAGACCGCCTCTTCACGAACCGCTCTTTTCAAATCTCGGTGACAACCTCCACAATCTTAGCGAATGTCGTCGAAGACCGCCCATCTCGTGCTATCATCTCAAATCTTAGTGACAACCTCCACAATATTAGCGAATGCTGTCGAAGACTGCCCATTTCGTGCTATCTTCTCAAATCTTGGTGACAACCTCCACAATCTTAGCGAATGCTGTCGAAGACCGCCCATCTCGTGCTATCTTCTTAAATCTTGGTGACAACTTTCCACAATCTTAGCGAATGTTGTCGAAGACCGCCCATCTCGTGCTATCTTCTCAAATCAAGTGACAACTTCCACAATCATAGCGGAAGCTATCAAAGACCGCTTCATCTTGAATCGTTCTTTTCTCAAATCAAATAATAACTCCTCAATCATAGTGAAAGCTATCGAAGGTCGCTTCATCTCAAACTTCGTCATCTTAAATCTTCAAATCAACCCTTCCATCTTTGGAAAATATTTTTCAAGAACCATATATGCGATTCTTAAAGGCTTTAAATTGATTTGTAAAATCTTACATCCTAGGAATTCTTTATGAACCAATACTTCGGTGTTTTTACTGCTCTTGAACCATTATGTCGGTGCCTTTACTATGAGCCAATGTTTAGGCGCTTTAAGCTAAGTGAGACGATATTTTATCAGGTCGATCACTTTATGTGATGGTAATCGAGCCAATTACCTAATCATGTCCGATTGCTTATAGGGGCTAACTGGCGTACCAAGGAACCCGCAAATTTCTGCACTAGGCCTGCATAATCTAATATGGGGGCCATGCATTGTGTCGCCGCATTTTGCTTCAATCGCCAGACGACAGCCTGGTCATCTAGCGCTGGAGTCGGGTCTTCCTTATTTTGCTCTTGCTGCTGCTATTCATTGCTCGGTTTTGCTCCGAACTTTAAACTTGGTTGTTTCCTTTCAACCAAATCCGCTCAAATCTTTTGTAAATTAAAGCTTTTCATCTCCAATTTACTAATCCATGTAATTTTACACAAACTTGGTCTCAAATTGCTCACAAACAAATATACATTCATATACAAGTTAATTCATGGAAATTCTGACGAACAACGCGCTCCCAAGATATCAAGCGAAGCGTGTAGTACCAACAAAGACAGTACGGTATGACGAAAGCTGCAAGGCCTTGGAAAGATCAATCATCCCAGCCCAAGGCCGATATTGGATCACAACAGCAACCTGAAAACCTTAAAAAGTTGCAATGAACGCTGAAAATAACATCAAGGTAGAGAATAACATGCTGCAAAATCAATTCTTACACCAACAAAAGAGGTGCCTTGGCGCAGCAACCCGCGCAGGGTAGGGATGGACTCCACTCGTGAATCGCCTCGGTCACGCCAGCTGGCTCAAACAGGGAAATCATGGAATCCTGGAAAGTACTCATAGAACCACAGCTGCAATGAAAATTAATCTGTAAGCACAAGAGTTAAATAGGTTAAAACAAAACAAGAAGAAGAAAGATCGTTACCTTTACGACTCTCCATAAACCGTAAACAATGACAGGGGCCTGGTCATTCAGCTGCCTGCAGCCATGACGCAGTGACGAGAGTAGATCAGCCTATCTAAGGCTGGCCCAACTATAAGATCCTATCTCGCCGATCATGACCTAAGAAGGAAGGTAGCAAACGAGCGCACGTGAACTCTTATCAAGAGAAAGAGTGACGAATAAGAGAATCAAAATAAAGATCCGCACTCACTGCTCAGGTGACGTCTCAGCCATGTCAAAGCCATGGGCAAGAACCGAAGCCAACTCTGATCGCTCGCTCTTAAGACCACCTTGAGGCACCGGCTGAGTCCTGATGTGCTGAACGACCGGGACTAACAAATCTGCTACCTCAGCCGCCCCCAAAGTGAGGTTAGGAATCTGTCGTACGACCCGCTCGGTGAAGCGTAAGATGCTAAAATCCAGGGGGGTCACTGTCATCTCCCCCAAGCAAAGTGAAAAGTATTGGTAATATTGCACGAACGACGGTCTAGCCACAACCCCGGGGGTTGGGAAATCCTACAACCGCTGAATAGAAATCTCCTAAACCAGCAGACTCCCACAAGGCGTTCATAACCGGATCCCTCGTGATAATCCCATATAGCCAGGGAATCAAATCTCTAGCTCCGAACCCATGATGGCGAAGCGTGCCATCGACTATTGTAGGGAATATTTTAAGCATTACCCCTAGCTTTAACCCCACTGTGATCATACACTAAAGTACGGTGGCGTCCAAAGGGAAAGAAGATAAAGCAAAAGAGTCGCCAACAAGTTTTAGGAACTTGTAAATCGTTCACGAGGTGAAGGTTACACCCCTTAACGATCCAGGAGATCATCAACTCCAATAGGTCTGGAACCATGACTGGTAGTTCGGGGATGAAGGTACAAATCCAACCTAAAAGAGATTGAACCTGCTCTAATAATAGGCCTCTACTTTATTCTGATCGTATTCATGTGCGCTTTCTAACTAACATGCAATCAATAGGTTTAACCCTAAACCTGTTTATCTATGTTGGTTGAATATTAATGCACAAACAAAACTATTATTGGCAATCACTTGAATTATAATCAAATTAACCCTAAACAAGATTATTAATTATCTTATTAAGCGTGATTACAAGTACAAATTCCCTTTAAACATGCATAAAAGGTGTGATCAAGAAATAACAATAAAATATAATCAAGCAACATAATAATCATCATAATAACAATTACAATAATCATGTTAAAGCATAATAATAGCAAGATCCTAGGCATGATACTAACAAGATTAATAACAAATCCTAGCATGTCACTAAACATTAAAAATCAAAGCTTTAACCCTACTATGATACTAACATGAATATTAGGAAAGTAAATAGGAAGCATCGCAGGAATCACAATTGTCATATTTGATATTAGAAATTATAGTTGTTACCCTAAACATGATACTTGGAAAATCAAAACGCCCTAACATGACACTAGGAATCAAAACAACATTCTAGACATGATTTCTATATCATAATGACAATAAATCAATTAAAGCACTTACTTGGATGCCTCATATCTCTTTTTAATAACAAAATACACACGTTAGTAAGTTCAAGAGAAATAATAAACAAACAATTAAATTGAATAATAGAAATAGAGATTTGGGACCAAACCCTCAGAAATTAAAAACCTTTCACGTCTAGAACGAAGGCAACTTCGAATTTGGCTAGGTGTGTCTAGATCTTGTGAATGTAGAATTTTGTAGGCAAAAAGGGTTGGTTTAGAAAAGAGAGAGAGAGAGAGAGAGAGAGAGAGAGAGAGAGAGAGTAATCAAGAGATTCTTGATGAGAGTTGATGAGAGAGAGAATTAGAGAATTCATGATTGAAAACAGAATTTTAAGAGGCTATTTATAGAAAAAATTAGTCGGATGGATAAAAATGAATTAGAGTTCGATGAAAATGAAACTCGATTAGCGCCAGACACTGGACATTAGCGCCAGGCGCTAATAATCAGTTTTACGCGTTTTGTTTTTATCATATCTTTTGATCCGGAAGTCCAAATAAGGCATATAATATGTCTTTGGAAAGATCTTGAAGCTAATTTCCAGTTCAATTAGAATCAGATTAAGATATTTTGTAAAAAAAAAAAAAGATATGGCCGAAATAATGGAAGGATGTCAGTTTTGGATAGAGTTTTGTATCTTATTCATATCTTTTTCGTTATAGCTCGAATTTAATATTATAATATATCATTGGAAATATAATTTCAAGATCTATACAACCATATAAAATTTGGATAAATATTATGATGCATGAAAATAAAATCTGAATATATTCCACTTCGTACAAAATAAGGATTCTTAAAAAGAGTAGTTTTATTCAATTTCAAACTCTTTAAAACATAATTATCAATCCTAACTCCATTAGGATTTAAAATAACCTTATAGATTATTCTAGAAGACTATAATCAATCCTCATAGCTTTAGGAATGATAATTAATAATAGGTCCTCCCCTAGATCATTGGCCGCATATAAAAACCAAATCGGGCCCAGTTTAGTATTTTGGCCATAACTTCCTCATTATTCATCGGAATTGGGCTTATAATATATTGTTGGAAAGGTATTTTCAAGTCCTATCCAACTACACCATTATTGGAACCTTATCATGGACCAAACTAAACTGGAATTCACGTTTTTCATAAATAAGTTAAGAAAAGAAATATTTTCAAAAAAGAAAGAAGAGATATTTTAATAAAAACGTTCTCATCACTGGACTTTTCACACTTTTGCTTTGTTCCATAATCAAATGGCGTGAAAGGTATTAATCACTGTGTTTGGTTTTGGGGAAACACAAATGGGTGTCTACAGAAGCCCCCACTTTGACTGAGTTTGGAGAAACGTAAGTTTTGAAAACGAAAGTCAAAGTATCGATAGGGACGGAGAATGATTCAGAACATTCTACGATCCTAAATCATTCTTGTAACGCCGATACCTGCAAACTAGCATTAGTGAAAACAGATAAGAGAGTTAAGAAACGCGTATCTTGCACCGTCGAGCACACGTCTCTGAAATTAACCGATTTGTAGCTGCATTTGTCGTTGTGACAACCTTCCACAATCTATGGAATGCATCTTGCTGTTTTAATGTTCACTCGTCTTTGAACAATGGAGCTTTTGTTGATATGTTCAAGAGTCTCTGAATAATGAGCTTTTGAATGATATGCCCACGCTTCTCTGAATAAAGAGCTTTTGAATGATATGTCCACGCGTCTCTAAACAAAGAGCTTTGATGATATGTCCACGCGCCTCTTAACAAAGAGATTCTTTTTAATATGTCCACGTGTCTCTGAACAAAGAGCTTTTGAATGAAATTTTCACGTGTCTCTAAACAAAAGAGCTTGAAAGAAATGCCCACGCGTCTCTGAACAAAGAGATTTTGAATGAAATGTCCAGGCGTCTCTGAACAAAAGAGCTTGAAAGAAATGTCCACGCGTCTCTAAACAAAAGAGCTTGAAAGAAATGTCCACGCGTCTCTGAACAAAAGGGCTTCAAAAAAATGTCCACGCGTCTCTGAACAAAAGAGCTTGATGATATGTCCACGCGTCTCTGAACAAAAGGGCTTGATGATATGTCCACGCATCTCTGAATAAAAGAGCTTTGATGATATGAATGTTTGTTGTGATAATATTCCAAAGAAAACTTCTGAAGACTAACGCTTGTCGATCTTCAAAGCTCGCTTGAACTTTGCTTCCGCTATGCCAGTACGTCAGCGCTTTTGATGCTTGTGAACCATTATGTCGGTGTCTCTGCTGTTTATGAACTAGTATGTCGGTGTCTCTGCTGCTTATGAACCAGTATGTCGGTATCTTGCGATGAGCCAATGTTTAGGCGCTTTAAGTTAAGTGAGACGATCTTTTGTCAGGTCGATCACTTATTGCGATTGTAATCAAAATGACTACTTAATCATGTCAAATTGCTTATAGGGGCTAACTGGCGTACCAAGGAACCCGAAATTTCTGAAAGAGGTTAAAATAACTTCTCTGAGTGGTTGAGCGTTCTGTTGCTGCTTAAATATCTCTGGCGCCAAGAATTGGCTTTGTCGTAAAACGATGGCATCTAGCGCCAGGCGCTGAAATCTGTTGCCAGACGCTTAATGTTGTCGTCTGGCGCTGGAGTTGGGTCTTCCCTATTCTGCTCTTTCTGCCGTTGGGATGCACCTGTATTTATCTTTGACTATAGGACTTTGCCAATTTCTTTAATTACTTTAGGGTTTACCTAAGTTTTAATGTCGCATGACTCATTGACTTGACACGACTCAAGGTATAAACTTGACTCGCTGTGATTGACTCGAGGTTGACTCGACTCGAAGTGAAATGACACGTGTGACTCATGACCCGTGTGTGCATTGCATTATGATCATGCGACTCGAAAATGCAAAAAAGCAAAAATTTTCCGTCATTTTTGTGGAGGGTACCGACATTCTCCTGAAAAAGAAAGACGCGAAAAAAGAAAGAATCGAAGTTTTTGAAGATGCATGTTGAATGAGCTTAATCCGTTAACGTTGTCTCTCATAGTACAAGGATTGTAACGTCTTAGACTATCCTAGTTGACTCGATGAAATTATTTAGGTAACTTAGGCGCGGAGCTTAAGCACTTCATACTTCGATGAGTGATTTTGACATGACAAGTCATGCTTCAGCGTTGTGTTAAGATTCCATGACAAAGGGTCCTAAGGGAAATAAATTTGGTTATGTATCTATGATGTGTGTGATAGTAACACTAAGGTTAGGCCGTAAGAGCTAAGTGTGTGGAAAGATATTATTTCAAGAAGAGTCAAATGATGGTGACTCTTAGGCTAGGTAAGCTAATGATGTAGAGATCAAGCCCCCAAGTCTAGCTCTAAGTAGATAGGGATGAGCATAGGAGATCCCTTGATATGATCATGGTGTGAGTGTGTGAATGTGAATATGAATGCATGTTTATTACGGCCGCACCTCGATGTGAGGTTGCCTACGTATCCGTTAGGAATCAGGCCGAACGTAGCTCTAGCCGAACCTCACACAAGTGTGTATACCTCAAAAAAAGTATTTTAAAGGGTTATAACGTGGTTAGGCTAAAGATTATAGAAGAAGGGGATAAAGGCTCAAGACCCTCGATAAGCCCCCAAGGTGTGCAACCTTGCTTTTGAATCTTTATATTTTTATGCTTGAGGCTTGCTTCTCTTTTTTAGCTCTCTTTTCTCTTCTTTTTTTTTTTTTTTTTTTTTTTTTTTTTTTGCTTTAGAATTTATTTTTATTTTTATAAGTGTGGGAGATCCCGATCATGCGGTCTATCACTCACTTGGCATTCATGTTTCTCAGGCACGGTACCGAGCACTCGATAAGAGACACAATCTGAGACGTGTTCATGTCAAAGACATTGGAACACTTGCCTTTTTGTACACTTTTATTTTTTTTTTGATTATTTTTTGCTATTTTAATCTTTTGAAGTCGCTCAAGCTTTTTATGAAATTGAATATTGCATAAGTTGCACATCATCCCGTCCCGAGGTTAGGTAGATATGGGTTGAAAAATGAAAGGTCTATCGTTAGACGAGGCTCAAAGTGGTTTATCAAAAAAGGATTGCATATTTGAAGGGTGAGAAGTGATATAATGTGGCTACAAGGGATGCCTCAAATCATTGGTATACCTTGTGCTTAGTTTGACATGGATTTTTTTTTTTTTTTTACTAAAATTCAATGCAATGCGATGATCATA